AATGTTCATACTATAAAAATTTAACAATATTTGTAAAATGTGAGATGAACCAAACTACGGAACACAATAATCATATTATTCTAAACAGCATAATGAAACAGAAAGCACCGGCCCATTCATAAGTCATTGGCAATTTGGTTTAACCTTGGTAGTTTCACTTTTTTTCTTCTGCCTCGCTATTTCTTCATTTAATGATTATTGGCAGTTCCTGACCTTAGTGTTATACTGAATTGTAAGCGAGCATTTTGCTATTGTTTTTCCCAGAGAAATCTATACTCTCTTCTTCTCTCCCTCTGTCACGCTTGACAGGTAGGTTTGACTTTTACCATGTGACATTGACTGACAGTACAAGAAAGAAATGTAAGATTTACGTTCATCAAGGATACAACAAATTAAGGCTTATTCTCAATACATTTGAGATTAGCTACATGAATCCTTTTTGTTACTGTGTCCTGTTCAACACTACACCTCTGGAAGATACAAAAAAATGTTTTCCTACATAAAACATTCTCAACTTTAGAGTGTCGTGTGACGGATCGCAAGGTGATGACTTGAGATCTAGCATATCACGGGGCTAGTTTTCTTACACTCGAACAACTAGACACCATGCTGCCTTAACGTTCACAATTCTCGTCCCTCTCAAGAAACGTTAAGTCAACTTTTCAACACACACGAATAATCTAACAAAGTAGGCTAAATTACTACAACTTTGAATAGAAGATTTGAAGTAAGGAAAATAGGGAAAACAAGTAAGATTTGGGGAAAATTCTCTTTGTATAAAAATAATTCCACTCCAATGAATTAATTTACAAAGGGACTACATCTCTATTTATAGGTAAAATCCTAGCAAGTGTCTTGGAATGTAAGTGGCCTTAAACCTTCTAAGACCATGAGGCAGCAAAGTTGAAATTTGTCTATACAATTCTCACATACACTAGACATGTCCCTTTCATAGTGACAAAATTGGCTTTTGCTTTCTCTTTGACATCGTCTCTTGCAAGAGGCATAAATGACCAATTTGAACTAGATGTCCCAAAACATCCAGCTTACAGCCTATGGTATTTCTCCATAGAAAACCACTTTGATATGCTGGAAAAACTATCCATGTCATGCAACCTGCAATCTGTGTAGTGGTGGCAAATGAGCCGAGCAGCTCGTCGGCNAATGTTCATACTATAAAAATTTAACTTGTAAAATGTGAGATGAACCAAACTACGGAACACAATAATCATATTATTCTAAACAGCATAATGAAACAGAAAGCACTGGCCAATTCATAAGTCATTGGCAATTAGGTTTAACCTTGGTAGTTTCACTTTTTTTCTTTCTTTTTTTTTTTTTTCTTCTGCCTCGCTATTTCTTCATTTAATGATTATTGGCAGCTCCTGACCTTAGTGATATACTGAATTGTAAGCGAGCATTTTGCTATTGTTTTTCCCAGAGAAATCTATCCTCTCTTCTTCTCTCCCTCTATCACGCTTACCAGGCAGGTTTGACTTTTACCATGTGACATTGACTGACAGTACAAGAAAGAAATGTAAGATTTACGTTCATCAAGGATACAACAAATTAAGGCTTATTCTCAATACATTTGAGATTAGCTACCTGAATCCTTTTTGTTACTGTGTCCTGTTCAACACTACACCCCTGGAAGATACAAAAAAATGTCTTCCTACATAAAACATTCTCAACTTTAGAGTGTCGTGTGACAGATCGCAAGGTGATGACTTGAGATCTAGCATGTCACGAGGCTAGTTTTCTTACTCTCGAACAACTAGACACCATGCGGCCTTAACATTCACAATTCTCGTCCCTCTCGAGAAAACGTTAAATCAACCTTTCAACACACACGAATAATCTAACAAAGTAAGCTAAATTACTACAACTTTGAATAGAAGATTTGAAGTAAGGAAAATAGGGAAAACAAGTAAGATTTGGGGAAAATTCTCTTTGTATGAAAATAATTCCACTCAAATGAATTAATTTACAAAGGGACTACATCTCTATTTACAGGTAAAATCCTAACAAGTGTCTTTGAATCAATGACCAATATCAATCTTCATCCAAGGGTCCTCATTGGATGCAAGTGGCCTTAAACCTCCTAAGACCATGAGGAAGTAAAGTTGAAATTTGCTTCATGCAAGTGGCACGTCTCTACAATTCCCACATACACTAGACATGTCCCTTTCATAGTGGCAAAATTGATTTTTACTTCCTCTTTGGTATTTTCTCTTACAAGAGGCATAAGTGACCAATTTGAACTAGATCTTCCAAAATATCCAGCTTACAGCCTATGGTATTTCTCCCTAGAAAACCACTTTGATATGCTGGAAAAACTACTCATGTCATGCAGCGGCAATCTGTGTGTTGCTGTGCTGCCTATGTCCTGACATGGCTGCAGTCTGTGTGTGGCCATGTCCTGACTGTGTCCTAGGTGTTGCCTGCGTTGTAGCCTTGTCGTCATGCCTGCCTGTACACCCGAATTTCTCAGACACGACCTGGACACGAACCTGCCACCATGGACATCAATCATTTCCCCACCAATTTAGGTGACACCAGCATCACCATGTACCTTTGAAGCTTAGACCTAATTAACCATGGGTCTACTTCATTTTCCCACTTAGTACTATGACATCCCCGTGCCATACTAGATCTGTCGTGTCTGGGAAATCCGGGCGTGCAGTCAGGCATGGCGACACGGCTGCAACGCAGGCAGATTGCATGCAGGACATGGCCAGACACAGACTGCAGTCATGTCAGGACACATGCAGCATAACAGCGCACAGATTATAGGCTGCATGACATGGGTAGTTTTTCTAGCACATCAAAATAGTTTTCTACAGAGAAATACCATAGGCTGTACGCTGGATATTATGGGACATCTAGTTCAAGTTGGGTCACTTATACCTCTTGCAAGAGAAAATGCCAAAGAGGAAGCAAAAACCAATTTTGCCACTATGAACGGGACATATCTAGTGCATGTGGGAATTGTAGAGACATGCAACTTGCATGAAGCAAATCCTCATGGTCTTAGGAGGTTTAAGGACAATTGCATCCAATGAGAACCCTTGGATGAAGATTGATCTTGGCCATTGATTCCAAGACACTTACTAGGATTTTACCTATAAATAGAGATGGTCCCTTTGTAAATTAATTCATTGGAGTAGAGTTATTTTTATACAAAGAGAATTTTCCCCAAATCTTGTTTCCCTATTTTCCTTACTTCAAATCATCTATTCAAAGTTGTAGTAATTTAGTCTACTTGGTTAGATTATTCATGTGTGTTGAAAGGCCGACTTAACGTTTTCTCGGGAGCGATGAGAATTGTGAACGTTAAGACCGCACGGTGTCTAGTTATTCGAGTGTAAGAAAACTAACCCCGTGACAGGTGGTATCAGAGCCTCGTTGGTAGGCTGGTATCATGGCGGATTCACAACAAACTGTTGAGATTGAGGAAAGGGGTCGTGGTGTTGCTCCAATTGAAGCAAGGAAAATACGGAGCAAGAGTAAGACTCGGGAAGCAATTTCCATGGAGGGCAAACTTGATCCAATCATTGCAAATATGGCTGATCGGGTCGAATCTCATGAATAATCGTCCAAGGATTCCGAAAAAGGGAGCATTGATGTTCAACTATTCGACAAGCGTAGGGGCGCTACGCCGGAGGAGTCGTCCTTCCGAGGAACCCAAGCCGTGGCACAAGGGTGAAGGAAGGTGTTGAACGACTGGAAAAGTCATCCAGCCGAGGAACTACAGCAGTAGTGCTGAGGGTGAAGGTTGGTGTCGAATCCGCCGAGGAACTACAGTAGTGGTGCTGAGAGTGAAGGTTGGTGTCGAACGTGGCATGTAAGAGGTTACAACGGGAAGAGGTGCATGGGGCACTGTGGACTCCCGTCCATCGAGGGAATGGTGCCGCAAGTAGAAAGAACATTCAAACCCATTGACAGGGAGGACAATGCAAGGTGTGAAGCGCATGATGAAGTGCTAAATGCGTTCCGCTACAAGGACGTAGGGTGGGGGAGAGTGTGACGGATCGTAAGGTGATGACTTGAGATCTAGCATGACACGAGGATGTCATGGCACTAAGTGGGAAAATGAAGTAGACCTATGGTTAATTAGGTCTAAGCTTCAAAGGTACATGGCAATGCCGGTGTCACCTAAATTGGTGGGGAAATTACTGATGTTCATGGAGGCAGGTTCGTGTCCAAGTCGTATCTGGGAAATTAGGGTGTGTCAGCGACACGGCTGCAACGCAGGCAGCACCCAAAACGCAGTCAGGACATGGCCAGACACNTGATAAGACCTACAATTCGAATAAAATATGTGATGTTGCATGGTGTGACGGATCGCAAGGTGATGTCCTAGAAGCTAGCATGGCACAGGGATGTCACTTAAAATGGTGGGGAAATGACTAATATCCATGGTGGCTGGTTCATGTCCAGGTCATGCCTAGAAAATTCGGGTGTGACTGCAGTCACTGCGATACAGGCAGTCATCGCAGGCAGATTGCAGGCAGCTCTCAGGACATCGCAGACAGATTGCAGGCAGCTCCCAGGACATCGCAGGCAGGACATGGCCAGACACAGACTGCAGTCATGTCAGGACACAGGCAGCACCACAACACACAAATTACAGGCTGCATGACATGGGCTGACATGGGTAGTTTATCCATCACATCAAAGTGGTCATTTATGGGCTGTAAGCTGGATATTTTGGGACATCTAGTTCAAGTTGGTCACTTATGTCTCTTGAAAGAGAAAATGTCAAGGAGAAAGCAAAAACAAATTTTGCCACTATGAAAGGGACATGTCTAGTGCACGTAGGAATTGTAGAGACATGTCACTTGCATGAAGCAAATTCCAACTTTGCTTCCTCATAGTCTTAGGAGGTTTAAGGCCACTTGCATCCAATAAGGACCCTTGGCTGAAGATTTATCTTGGTCATTGATTCCAAGACACTTGCTAGGATTTTGCCTATAAATAGAGATGTAGTCCCTTTGTAAATTAATTCATTGGAGTGAAGTTATTTTTATACAAAGAGTTTTCCTCAATTTTACTTGTTTTCCCTATTTTCCTTACTTCAAATCCTCTATTTAAAGTTGTAGTAATTTAGCCTACTTGGTTAGATTATTCACGTGTGTTGAAAGACTGACTTAACGTTTTCTCGGGAGGGATGGAAATTGTGAACGTTAAGGCCGCACGGTGTCTAGTTGTTCGAGTGTAAGAAAACTAGCCCCGTGACAGTCGACTCTACAGATTATTTTGACGTTCAAGTCTGCAAGAGAGGTACACCATCTTGGACATTTGATTTCTTGGCCATCATAGGTTACAAAATATATATTACCAAAGGAATATGAAAGCATACAAAAAGACCACAAGATGTTTAGTAAAACAAGCAAGAAACTATAAGAAGTCCACACCGTCTTTCTTCATCTCA